ACACACACACACACACACTGCACACCCATATTCCGCACACACACATGTGGCCAAACAATATAAATCACCAGCACTCACACTCACACTCACACAAACGTGTGCGACAGTGGTGGAGTTTTGAGGGGCGCCGACCAGGAAGTAGGATGAAATATCGATTTAATATAAGCCGGCGAAATGTATATACATATTTGGAGAATTATACCAAAACGTGACTGAAACATATACAAAAACGAGGAGACGAGACGGTCAAAGCCAGCAAAACGCCCCGTTACGTAATCTGCCGCAATGAACATTTTTTTCCCCATTGGCCGCACAAAATGTGCAATGCGATATGGCTATATGTATATGTATATATATACATTTTTCCTACATATATACAATTTTATGCACGTTTTTCAACCATTTTATAGGCAATACATTTAGTTTTTATTTTTAATCCGCAGCAATAAACTTTAGTTTTCATTTGAGAGTTGCAACAAAAAGGATTTGTACAGGTGCAGTTTGTATACACTTTATTCTATCTTATTTTTTTTCTAATAAAATAAAGTGAAATACTTCACAAAATATATAAAATCTTTAAATTTATTTAAAATTTATTTTCAGTTCCTAAGCACAAAATGTCCACTGCAGACGTCTTTTTTCTGGGCTTCTTGTGTTTCCTCAACATGTTTACATTTAATTAATGCGTACACATGGCTTAAAAGCTGATTATCCTTAATTAGTGTTGTCTTTGGCCACACATTTTACCTGAGAGCATTCGGCGCGGCGTAGGCTAGATTTCACTTGGCATACGTGGCGTATGAGTAATTTCGGCTCGGTGTCACCAAACTTTTTCGTTTCTATGCCCCAAAAAAAAATTAAACGCATGTTGAAAATAATTGCGTTTCCACATTTAATGACATCATAACATATGCAGAGATTTTAATCGTAAATCTCCTAAAAATCGCAGGTTTATTTTGGGATAAATTATTTATATTATTAGGAAAATGAAAAATAGGTCTGTATAAGATCTCTATGGAGACACAGTTTTAATATTAAAGTACAATTTATAACAGCTTGAACTGAAATATTCATAAATTATGATATTGTATACACTACGTATACGTAACGCATGTTCTTCACTTTTGTAAAATAAATGTTCTTTAAAAAACTTCAATAAATCCAATAAAAAAATAAATATTATTAAAATTATCCTATAATTTATAAGAATTTTTACTGGGTATTTTCAGTTTGAGGCATTTGTATTCCAATGCTTTTATGACTTCCTTTCCGGCATCCCCCCTTCGACCACGCCCCTGGAGAAATGCATCGTGGCGAAGACTAACTGCCAGGTCACCAGGGTGTGGTGACCGCACTCCGGTTCCGAAACCGAAACCGAGACCGAATCCGAGTCCTCATCCGTGTTCCGGGTTCCACAGTCCACAGGTTCGAAGGCAGGGGCATTGAAAATGTTGATAATTGAATTCACACGTGAATGATCACAATCTCGAAGCCTTTACTTGGGCCTATTGGCCTGCTCCTGTGCTCCTATGCTGCAGGACCTCTTTTTCGGAATTTGGGTGGTGGTTGGTTGGTGGATTAATGGGTTGGCCGGACTGCAGGCGGCCCAGATTGAATCGCTGGCTTTTTGGCAAGGAGCAAAGCGAAATGCCAAAGCCAAGCCCAAAACCGAGACCAAAAGCCAAGTAATTATGATCGTAAATTGATTAGGCAACGAGGGGCATACAAACGGGTGGCCCAAAAGGGGGTCGAACCAAGGACGGACCGCACAAAGGGGGTTAATGGAATTAGTGTTACATAATCTCTGTTGTTCCACAGCCTGCACTTGCTGTTGCCACGAAGCAGAGGAAGAAGATGATGATGATGCTGATTTTGCCGCCGGGTTAACCCACAAACGCCCTTCTTCAAATCACCTAAAAACTTTTCGGATAGCTTAACTTTTTATATGCACTGCGCTCTCATAGTTCTCATAGTTCTGTAGCGCAGCACTCTCCGCATAAAAAAGATAACAACTTTTATTGATCTCGAGAGTCTTACCAAAAATAGAGGGACAGAGATTGAGATGCAGATTGCCATGAAGATGGCGATGGAGACCACTAAAAACTTTAACGCAAACAAATTCAAAAACTTAAATTTGTTTATGGCCAGAGGTAACGAAACAAGTACTTGCTACTTGAGCCGCAATTTTCCTCTTTTGCAAATGGTGCTCTATATTTGAATGGAAAAGAATGGGCGGCCCATTCTGGGTAAAGCAGAGAAACCTAAATAAATTGATTACGAAAATTACTGCTAGTCCTGGATTTTAATTTGTAAGACTTTAACCCACGGTAGGCCGGGGAATATTTAAAAAAAATAAAATATTATATTATAAATAGGGATAGTATAAGGATAGATTTTGATTATAAAATGTTTATATAATTTATTTTAAGAAGCTTTTCTGTCGAAGAACTATTTAATCCTATTTTTAATAAGTTTAGTAACATAAAAAGAAGAATACTAAATTAAATTAAATTTTTGTTATATAAATTGAATGTTTTTAATATTTCCAAAAGGGAATTTCATACACTATTTATCTATTGACAGAATATTCATATTTTTCGAATCTGTCAATGCCAATGTTAGTCTTTGTCACCTGAACCAAAAAAAAAAAAAGGAGAAAACCTTTTAGCGAATCGCGTCCTGTGCGAAACCCTCGAGACCTCAAAAGGGTTAAGGCGTCGGCACTTGCAAATGCAGTGTTTTTGCACTCAACTCGAGAGCACTCAATTAGAAACGTTAAGCTAACGACCGCGCCGATTCGATTCAATTCGATTCGATCGAATGATATCGCACATGAACCCGAGAGGGATAGAGCTATATAGCCGCCCCCCTCTTTCTTCTTCGATCTCAGCGACAATAACGAATAACAAATAACGAATTCCATTCCAGCTCGTATCGAATTAATTTGCCTAAAATGTGGCACAAATCTCAATTGCAGCAGTGCACATCAATAAACAAAAACGCCAGAAAGGAGCAAAAACGACGAGCAAAGGAGCAAAGGAGCAAAGGACATGTGAGATTGATGACACAATCGAACAGGTAAGAGCGAGACAGTCGAATACACTCCAAGGCGAGTGCGAGCGAGAGGAAGAGGAAAGAGTAAAGAGGATGGGTGAGGGTCGCTGACTGCCAAATGGAAAATGGATTTCAGTATTAATTTCGCTGACGACGAAGGACTACGAGGACGAAGGACGAAGCGAAGGCACGTTGGCAACATCAAAAGCGAGGCATATCCGTCTTGACATTCCGTCCGGGCTGCAGATGCAGATGCAGATGCTGTAGGATGCCGGCGGTTTCCGGGGGTGTTACGGTATTACTACAGCACTACAGCACTACAGGGCTGTTCCACGGGTCTAGGGATCCATGCGGATAAGGGATGTGGATGTGGATGCGGATGGGAACGGGAACGGGATGACGGAATGTAGAGATGAAGAACCAGAGCAAAACTGCGGTTTGCCATCTCTGCAATGCGCCGGACCCCGTTGCCGGAATCTAACTTCAATGATGGCAAAAGTACAAGGTATGGGCGAAAAAATATACGTGGGTAAGCCGAAAGTGATGTGAGGTAAAGAGGGTACCGTATTTGGTTAACCCCGAATAATATGCTAGGTACACATATTGGAGAAATTTAGGTATTTATTCGATTCATTCTTATAAATGGTTATAAGTATACCTAGTTTAAATATTCATATATTTAGAAACTTTCTTATAAAGAAAATATAAAATAGATCATCATATTATTTCTATACCAGTATTAAATATCTTTCTTTCTCTTTCTACCCTTCTTAAAAAAAAAATTTAATTACAATGCTTAAAATAATAACAATATGACATCGTTATTCTTAAACAATTAAGGATATAAGCACCGTACTTTATGTCCTGTAGAATTAAAGAATTCTAATAGCTAATCTTATCATAAGTAGGTACTAGTATTAAAACTCTTTCCTTCTCTTTATACTCTTCTTATAAATAAATAATAACAATATGAAATCGTTAATTTTAAACAATTAAGGACCTAAGAACCGTACTTTATAGCATGCGAACCTAAAGAATTCGCGTTATTTTTCGAAAGTTTTGCGTTTTACCAAGCTTTTCAAGGTCTTTAATTTAAAGTTCTGAAACAACAGTTAAGTAAAAGTACCTAGCAACTGTCCATCACTGATCCTAACCATGTCAGCCGTGCTCCTCCCGCCTTTCCCGCCCCGCTACCCTCTTGGTCCATTGGTTTTCGCTTTTATGGCGCGGGCACACCTATTTTCCAAAAGGATTTCCCAGCATTTGCGGCAAAATGAAGCAACAACAATGTTGCAAAAACAAAAAGGATGGCGAAAAAATAAACTAACGCCAAGTTGGCTCTTTGTTATTTGGGCGTTTGGCAAGTTTCTCGGTGCCTTTCCGTTTTTATACCCTTGCAGTGGGTATTAGAACTTGGATTAGGAGTTTCCGGCTCAGTGAACGAGATATTTGTGAACCTAAAAAGTCATTTCTGCATAAGCTGTCTGCCTCAACGCGGATTTGTCCGAGACTATAAAATCAATAGGGATGAATTTTGCACAGCGTCGTCGTATTTACATTGCGGCGGTGGAACTTTAGGATCCGTATACGTGGGTATGTCCCAGGGGGTATAATATAATATAATATAACAGCAAAACATAGTTTATGTTACTTAAATAAGGGAGAGTACTTAAATATCAGGGGCAACCCATTATAACTACACAGAACCCATTGACCTACAAGGGTATTTCCAGATTCGTTTCTTCTAAGCCGTCGCTAGTTCTTTTTTTGGCTCTCCTACTTGTCGTCGTGTCGTCGTCATACAAAATAAATGGAATATCTTCGCGTTCTGCTCCTCCAGGCACTTCCTCATCCTCCAGTGCCTTTTCCTTTCCCTTTCCCCTACTTTTCCTGCGGTTCCATCCGTCATGCCTTGTACTCCTTACCCACTTTTTTCCCTGCTTTGCTGCTTTCTGTTTTAGATGAAAAGTGGAAATGCTGGCTGTTGCAACTTATGCAAAATATTTGCACCGAAAAGGGTTGGCTAAGAGCGCTGGCATACACATAAATAATTTATGAGCATGGGACAAATTGAAATTAGCATAATAAGGAGACAATACAGAAATCACTGGTTTGTTTTTCCATCTACTCGAACTTTAATTGGATGCATTTTTAGCCCTGGCGAGCCCGTTTGCGTTCCTGATAGCGAGCTAGAGCGGCCTCGAAGACCTCGCCCACGGTCCGTTTGCGCCAGACGAGAGTGCGATCCACTGGAGGCTTGGTAACCGTCGGCACGGGCAGCTCCTTCTCGTCCAGCTCGGCATCGGGTTTATCTTCTTTGGAGGGTGATTCCTCCGCTGCAGCAGGTTCTTTGCTAGGTTCTGGTGTTTCCTGGGGTTTTTCCTTCTTTTTGGCCTGGGTTTGCTTATCCTTCTCCTTCTCCTTAACCTTCTCCTCCTCCTCGTCGCTGGAATCGTCTATGCTAAAGTCGGAATCGGCGTCTATGTTGTTGGCTAAATGGGCCTGGGCCTGGGTTGGCTTGCTTTCCGCCGGATCCTCTGAAGCCTGGGGCTCTGGCTCCCGGCCAGCCTTCCTTTGCTCCTCCGCCTCCTCCTCGGAGGAGCGTCGCTGCCGGTAGCTCCGGTGCTTGGCGGCCTCCGCCTTGATGGGCTTGTAGGAGACCTCCTCGGTTGAGGGCGCCGTTTTGGGCGTCACCTGATCGACGGGGCCGCCCATCTTCTGCTCGTAGAGATGGCGATAGAAGCCGCCCAGATCCCTCTGCTTGGTGACATCGCCAATGGCCTCCAGATACTCGTCGCGCTGCTCCTGCTCCTGCATCTGGCGTATGGACTCGAGCTTCTTGCGGTAGGCGGCCGTCACGTAGGTGTCCTTGTCCTTGTACATCTCGCCCTCGGCCTCGCGATCCTTCTGCACCTGCCGCTCGATGCGCAGCTCCTTCTCCAGCTTCCGCCGCTCGGCGTGCTCCATCAGGCGGGCGATGTACTTGGGTTTGCGGGGCTCCTGGCTCTTCGACTGCTTGGCCTCCTCGCGCCGGCTGTCCATGTCGTCGTACAGCTCGTCGTACTGGAAGATGGTGGGATCCTCGGCCAGGGCCTTCTCCTGCTGCCGCCGGGCCACGCGGCGCTCCATGAGGCTGGGTCCGCTGGCGATTCCACTGGTCTTTGGCTTCAATTGCGGCGCCTTCCGGTCGTCGTCGCTCTCGGAGGCGCTGCTCTCGTCGAAAATGGCGGGCTTTGCGGCGGGCTTCGCGGGCGCCTTCTTCTGCTGCCCCGGGACAATGAGGCCATATCTGGGGGAGGGAATTTAAGGTTTAAAACCACTCAAAATGCTTGTTATCAACAAATTACTCACTGTTTGGACATTTTTGTTTGTTTATAAATTATCAGTGCGACCGTTTCGTGGGGCCAAGTAAATACTACAGCTCAGCTGCAGCACTGAAGTTGGGAGCAACCCTGAAAGAAAATATCGATGGCGCCAGCTTTCGATAGTTTGAATGGTTAGGGTTTGGACCAAGGATAAATACACAACATTAATTTATAATTTAATTCTTTAACTGATATAATTTAGTGAGCCAAAAACCAGCCAAATAGAAAAATTCGTCATTGCTTAATTTTAGTTGCAATGTTGATTGAGTAATTCCACATCTTTCAACATTAAAACGTAATTTTTAATCACATGTTCCAATTATATTATTGCCACATCTTAAGTTTCCCCATTAATACAAATTCAAATTATTACAAATTAAATTATTTAGTTTTTATTTATTACAAATTCCCTGCCCATTTAGCCAATCCCGCAACCGGCCAACTATCGATTGCCGCGCCGATTTTAGCCACTTCGCAGCCACCGGGCACACTATCCTCCGTCTCTTTCCTTCCGTTTCCCTTTCTTTTCCCTTTTCACGTTTGCGTGAGTGCGTGTTCTCCGCGATTTTGTTCACCGAAATTGTACTAAACCCACTTTTTTTCCTCTACTTGCAGCGGTCGTGTAAATCAGTGTTTGCAAACCAATCCCAGGTAATTGCCGCCTCCATGGGGCCCGTTGCAGCCGCCAAAATGCAGCCAGATAAGATTTGCGGCGAGCGCCGGTCGAAACATGTGCAAATCCCAGCTCCTCTTTTTTTTATTACAATTTTTTTACTGTGGGCCAATGGGCCAAAACTGAGTTTTGTTACTTGGCGCTGCCCCATGTAAACAACACATTTGATGCCCCGCATCGGATATATACGTACATATATGTACCCCCTTTTTTTTTGGTTATATATTTTTTTAATGTGCGAAAAAAATCAAGTGAAAAGTTGACCGAAAAGTGTGTTGCACAGTGTTGTTGATGTGCATGTGTGTGGGTGCGAGTGGCTTAAAAGTGTGGCAAAAACTCGAGAATACGCATAAATCGAATGTACCACTAAAAACCGGCTAAATAATACGAGTTTTGGAGTACTTGCGATGTAAATTTAACCCAAAATAGTTGTTGTTTACAGCCACTTGCACACACACACACACGGCCAAAGAAACACAGACAGTATCTTTTTTTCCTGGTATTTTGCACGTGTTTTGCTTGCCGTTTCTTTCTTTTCTCTTGCAACCCGTTATTCGTTGAACTAAGAAAGTAATGCTATAAGGAAACTATAAATATGATCTTTAAAACTGATTCTTGAAATTCAGGTCCCTTTGTCCGTATAAACTTTGGGATATCCGGGATCTTAGGGTTATTATAATTAGAATTTATAATAATTTGTTTGAAAGTTAGGCCACGCCTTCTATAGCCTCCTTAAATCCATAATTCCTACTTGCAAATATTGAATAAATTTTTATATCTGAAATATCTCATAAAATAATCAAGAAAGAAATGTTACCAACATTTGCTATTTCTTATAGATGGTCTTTTGATTTTAACAAACTACATGTGATAGTTCTTATGTCAATCTTCAGAAAAGTAGCCAAGTCCACATGTTCTAGATCTTCTAGGCAACTTAAATAACCTTTCAAGCTCAGTTTTTATAGTTTTCTTAAGGTCGTTCTTTTAAAGTTTAAAGCAATACCATATAGCGACTATAAGATTTTTTTTCTGTGACCCCTAAAAACCCGGCTATCGACTAATTGTACAATCCCTTTGCAGCCATGGTGCGTATGAACGTATTGGCCGATGCCCTCAAGTGCATCAACAACGCCGAGAAGCGCGGCAAGCGCCAGGTGCTGCTGCGTCCCTGCTCCAAGGTGATCATCAAGTTCCTGACCGTGATGATGAAGCACGGCTACATCGGCGAGTTCGAGATCGTCGACGATCACCGCTCCGGCAAGATCGTGGTCAACCTGACCGGGCGCCTCAACAAGTGCGGCGTCATCTCGCCCCGCTTCGATGTGCCCATCAACGACATCGAGAAGTGGACCAACAATCTGCTGCCCTCCCGCCAGTTCGGCTACGTCGTGCTCACCACCTCGGGCGGCATCATGGACCACGAGGAGGCCAGGAGAAAGCATCTGGGAGGCAAGATCCTCGGCTTCTTCTTCTAGGGCCACGGCATTTTGAAAACGATGGGGAGTTGATATGTAGATTGACGTTTTATTTCACCGACAAACCATGCATCCAAACTACGTTTTGTATACCACAAACCAGGGGCGAGAACGCTGCTGCATTCATTCAGACAACCAACGACAATGAATGTTCACAAAGAAACGCGAAATAAAATGATTGATACATAATAATTTTAATAACGATTTTGTTTACGATCTATGAACTATGTAAGCCGTACAGTGATGCAACAATAGCGACAGTAAATCGATCTGTTAACATTAAACCGACTGTTTATTATACAATATTACCTATATCGGAGATTCCGATATCATGGCCGTGATATTTTCAAATTCTATAAAGTCTGGGAGACTCAATTTGACCAAGCCATGCTGTTTTTTTTTTTTTTCGATATAATATATAATGACTCAAGAAAACCATGAATATAGGTAACTTTAATTGAAACTTGGTATTCTTTTTAGTTATTGATATGGTTATATTTATTACTCATGTAGTTTCAGGCCAATGTGCGTCTCTCGATGTACAGATATTAATAGAATAGTCGTCAAACCATAATTTAAATGCATTAAATATTTGTAGTATGTATAGTACATAACTTACAAAAGAGTTGACTTTTTCAATTTTCATAGGTACATGTTTACATGACCCTAAAACAGGAATCTTTAGAGCCGTTCTTGAGTCTATGCAATCTATGGTATTTTTGGCAAAAATTAGAATAATTTTTTAAGACCAAGTCTAACTTCTGATCTCCCAATGCTATAGTAAAATTCACTAATTTAAATTTACATTTCGTTAACACCAAATTTAGGATTATACAGGGGTGGTAAAAAGTATTTGCACATTTCTTATGAGTACGTGTAATTTGTGCAAATACTTCTGATACTTTGCTATCAACATTTCAAAAATGGATCAGTTTTGGCGGGCAGTGAATATCTCAGGTGGCAGCCCTCGATTTAAGTGTGGAATTGGTTCCTATATAACACTGTTTATTAAAAATCTATAGCATACGTTGCAGCTTAGACCAGATAAATCAGACTGTTAAATATGAATTGATTGGAGTGGGAAATTCGTTACCCCGAACCAAACGAGATTCCTGACAGGGGTCCTGGGTCAATTGTTTTGCCATTAAGTGCAATTACATTTCATATTGATTACCGATCGATATCGGTGTTGCGTGTGGCTTAGAATAAGTATAATTGATGAGTCCATATGGATGTTATCTACTTCTCAAAGGGGCCCCACCTACAACCTACAACTCGGCAATTGTTTTGGCCAACCCAACACACCCCTTACACAGCCCACTTCCTTATCGCAGAGGTAATTGAAAGGTCGAGCTTAGCCCAATATGGCGGAGCTGGCCATTTCGAGCATGTCATTCCGCACGACCCATTCCCACTGATATCACTAATACCACAGAGAAAGCCTCCCGATTACCACTTATCAGTCTATAAAATAATCAAATTACGCCACAGACAGCATAGTAAAAAAATTTTGTTGTCAGAAAAATAGTACCCGCATTCTATTGTTTTTTAGATGATATAACTTTTTAAAGGACTTTGGAAACAATAGGGAATATTAGAAATTCAAAATTTAATTCGATATCTCATCAAAACCCTTTGAAGTATTCGAAATGTATTCACTATTAACCAATTTTTTAAATATAACCGCTAGTTAGTGAAACTTTTCAACAGGTGTTCAATAGTTATTTTTCCAATTATTTTTCCTAATTATAATTTTACCATATTTATCACTATTGTTTTCCCCTCAGCTGTATGTGTTTTTGTACTTTTTGTTCCGGGTACCGACTTCTGGCGATTGGCATTCATATATTGGGAATATCAGAGTCATTTCCCACCCATTTGCAATTTGCTGCAGCATTCGGGTGAAATTTCATTACAGCTTTTTTTCTGTTTTGCCACCCAATAATTATCGATTCGGAATCACATCCATTGAAAGTCACCGACAATGACATTTGCAACGCCCTCAATAGGCCCGTTGGCATAGAAATCGGGCTCAGACCGAGTTTATTGTACATTTCTGTAGCTTTTTGTACCGCTTTGGGTGCAATGATTCAGCAGAGGCAATCTCTTTTTGCAGCTGTCGTGCGACTGATGAATATGAATAGAGCGTTTTCTGTACAACTTGGCAAACAAGCTCAGGTAAAAACGATTTGGAATCATCAAAGTTGTGGCAACGCGAAGTTGGGATGCCCTTTCAGGAGTAATACCTATATTTAATAAAACAAAATAAATAAATAAATTATTCTTATAATTACTTTTTACGAACAATAATAATATTGTTCATACGCAGTGATGTCCCAAGAATATCCCTAAAACTTCTTATAAAACCCCTAAGTAATATAACTATTAAAAAATATTAGTATCCCATATTAATTTCTTTATAACCATTGAAAATCCCATTTTTTCTTTTAAACTACAGGGAACCAAGGGTTATAAACAGGAAAGTAGATATATAAACCCAATGTATTTACTAAGTAAACATACCTATTAAAAAAAATTAGTATCCCATATTATTTTAGTCAGAACCATTGAAAAAATCCCATATTCCCCTTCAAACTACAGAGAACCAAGAGTTATGAACAGGAAAGCCCACATATTAAAAAACATTTATTTACTAAATAAAAGAACTAATTAAAAAATATTAGTATCCCATATTACTTTAGTCAGAACCATTGAAAAAAGCCCATATTCCCCTTCAAACTAAAGGGAACCAAGAGTTATGAACAGGAAAGACCATTGGTAGTGGCTATTATCTTAGCGACCATGGTGTGTGAACTTGAGTTTCCCTGGGCAACAGGCGCAATTAGCAGACTGATAATGATAATGGCGGACGCAAAGTTACCAGTCGGCTATACCCGATCCACCGATACAGAAAAAAGAAAAAACAGAAAAAGGCAATAACTAACGACGTAACGTGCGCAGCGATCAGATCGCACCACTTGGCGTTGAGAAAGGGTTCTGTTTCGGTTTCCAGTAGGTTCCAAAGCTTTTTAGCTGCCTCGCAGCTGGTCGGTAGACCCCAGCTATAGATACTATATGTATGTTTGACTTGGAGAAACTCGTTTCGGTGGAAGAGATCCCAACCGTCGAAGACACGTCGTGTGATGAGCCGCCAAGCTACACGTAATAGTTGGACCACAGATCGGGCGGGAGACTGGGTAGCCCACTCGCATATATATCCATACATATGTATAGTCAAGACCCGCTTAATATGCAAGCCATCCACGTCGACTAGACGACTCTCGCTTGCACTTAACATTGAAATGGACGGGATGATGGTGGCAAAACGGGAATTGTGCACTCGGTTACTGTGTCACCAGCAGCTGTTGCTGCACTCGGAGAAAATATTACCTATATCATTGGGAAATAATATTATTATTGGATGTTTTTTGGATTATCATGATTTTTTAGGTCATTATCTTAGATCTTTTTTAAAGAAATGGAGTTGTTTTGATCGATACACTCAAAACTTAAGATCTTTTAGGGCTGATATTTTTTAACATGATTTTTTAGGTCATTATCTTAGATCTTTCTTAAAGAAATGGAGTTTCTTTGATCGATATTATAGTTTGACCATTTCAAAACGTTTTGTTAAAATCTTGTAGATAAATATCAAACTTTTAATATAAAAATCTTACGAAAATTTAGAGATTTTTAAATTTTCTTTGAGTTTGAACATTATATGACATTTAATATACAAATCTGATTTAAATTTCGTGAAAATTTTTAATTTCAAGTCATATTTTTAGCCTATCTTTTAAATGGTTGTAAAGTAACGATGAATCATGAAAACTTTAAGTTCTTTTATAGGATGACACGCCTGGTTTCTCTCTGTGCAGCTGGCATGACGTCGATGTCTCAGCGGGACATTCTTGGCACTCTGATTCAGTTTATTTCCCATTTCGCAACTGCCAGCCGCAGACGGTGATAACTTCTTGTTTTTTTTCCACTTTTTGTGGAAATGTTTCCCCGGCTGATAAGCCCGGGGGTTTGAGGCGAAAGTCCGCCCGCCACCCCCTGATAAAGACCCACGTGCGCCGACTTCTCGTTTCTTTTTTTCCTTCGTTTATTGTGGTGAATTACAAAAAAAAGCACAAAAATAAATCACTTTCCGCTTAGCTTCTGCAGGTGTTTCTGGTTTCTAGTTGGTTGTTGCAGGGGAAAGGCGACAGTTTCACAGTTTCATCTTCTTCTCTCTACGCTCTAGGGTTAATATGTAGGATATATGTAATATGTAGGCGAGGGGGTTGCGATTCGAATCCGCTCCCGCTCGCCAGGAGCAGCCCCCCGCCCATCAAGCAGCTAGCCTCTTTAGGAGGTGGTCTCGAAGTACTCCTTGGACTTGGTGGGATCGGCCACCATGGTCTTCTTGCCGGGCTTCCAGTTGGCCGGGCAGACCTCGCCGTACTTGTCGGTGTACTGGAAGGCCTGGACCAAGCGCAGGGTCTCCTCCACGCTGCGGCCCACGGGCAGATCGTTCACGGTGATCTGGCGCAAGTTCTGCTTGTCGTCGATGATGAAGAGCCCGCGGAAGGGGATGCCGGTCTCCTCGTCCAGCACTCCGTAGTCGCGGGCCACCTTCATCGACTTGTCGGCCAGCAGGGGAATGTCCATGCTGCCCAAACCACCCTGCTTCCGGGGCGTGTTGATCCAGGCCAGATGGGTGAACTGGCTGTCCGTGGAGCAGCCGATCACCTCGCAGTTGATCTTGCGGAACTCGGCGGCGCTCTCCGAGAAGGCGATGATCTCCGTGGGACACACGAAGGTGAAGTCCAGCGGGTAGAAGAACAGCACCAGGTACTTGCCCTTGTAGTCGCTCAGCTTGATGTCCTTGAACACGCCGTTGACGACGGCGGTGCCGGAGAATTCGGGAGCGCTCTTCTGTAGCTGGGGCATCTGTGAAGTGGGGTGTTACGAAGGGTTGTTAAATTGGTCTCTAAAATATAGCCAAGGATATCTGAATAAAAAGGTAAAACAATTGTGCTAACATTGCTTTTAGTGTATTTCGAAAGAAAACTACCTAAAGATCCCCTATCTCAAAAATTTCAAGAAAATAAAAATTTCTATAATCTTTTGTGTATTATTTTTAAACTAAAAAAATGTATTAATTTCTTAATTCTTTAAATTTTGAGTTATGATAATTAAAATGGTTTGAATAACTGACTCTAAAATTAAAATTTTACCATATTAAATACATTCATTGAAAAAATTAAAAAAAAAAAAGCGGAGCACTTTAATAATTTAACTGTAAATGCAATAATAAAATCAATTTTTTAACAAGAATATAATATTCCTAAACCTAAACCTTACTATTTTTGAAGGTGATATTATGAAATCCCCTAAAAAAATGTAATTTAGAAGGGTTGTAATTTATTTACACTGAAAGCCCCTATAAACCCCAGTTCTAATGAGGCAATTACTAAAGTTGAAGTGTAATTGCCCTTCCAGATATTTCGCTATAAACTGGGGGGAGATCGAAAAAGAAAAGAAAAGCTGAGCTCTACAAAATGGCCGCCAGACGAAAGAAGTGGAAGAAACCCGGAATAATAAATTAGCCGAAATTTGGCTGTTCCCGTTTCGACGATTGAATTTATTGAACTTTCGGCACGTTTTGCACTAAAGTTCGCCATGTAATGTGTAATGGATGCCAATCGTGGCGAATTAATTGCAAATCACAAATATTTCTGAATTGGCAAATATTTCCTCTCGTTTTGATTTCATTCTCTGCCCTTTTTTTTTGTATTTGCCGGCTGGGCATGTGTGCGTGTGTGTGTGAGTGTGCGACGGACGTGCCAATAAAAGAAAAAAATAGGGGAAACTATGCTCCCGGTGCAAAATGGTGAAATAATCTCGAATCCGAACATCATTATCGCGATGGCACATCCACAACAGCGATTCTAGTTTCTAGTCTTACGATTCTCTCCACCAATCTCTCCCTGACTTTGCCCAGAATCAGCGACCTGTTCATCGCAGCACTCACTTTAGTTAATTTTCTTGGTAAACTCGGTAATTGCTCGACTTCCGCGTGGGTTATCTGATTCTCGCAGCAGCGGCTTTTGCACAACGTTTCGGCACAAGTTCGCGAATGAAATGGGTTCTCAACTGTTCGACTCAATTGTTTTTGCCTTAATTTGAAAAGCTTTTGCTTTTTGGTTCGCGGAAGGGTGTGAAAAGTACATCAGAACAGCAATGTATCGATATTTTTTCGAGTAAAAATAAATATTCACGTCGTGATTTTCGGTTCCCTTTTTGGCCGCAGTGGCGCTGTCAAATGTTAGATTCGGCGATTTCTAACAGAAATGTTAATGTTGGCTCTCCCGCTGCTCTGCCAATGTAAGAAAACTATTGTATCTTAACATTTCTGTTAAATTGAGAGGAAAGAGAGAATGAAATAGTTCGAGCTTTGAGACTTTAATTTGAAAAGCTTTTGCACAACGCTAGTTCGCGGTAGGGATGTGAAAAGTGCATCAGAATATTAATATCGATATTTTTTGAATAAAAATAAATATTTACATCGGTTCATGGTGCTCTTTTCGGCCGCAATGGCGCCACACATAGCTTTTCTAATAGGCAGCCGATACAACCTCCTGTCACAGCGGAGACATTCTCCTCAAAATTTGGTAAACAATTAAATTTTCCCAAAAATGATGATAAAATATCAATTTTTTTGGACGAAACAAAGGAAATAATAGCCCAAGTATGGAATGTCATACCTTGTTGAACTCGTAGCTTAATTCTGAATCAATTTCCGTTGAAATCCGGACATTTTAATTTTTTACCATTTTTAGCAAAAAATTATTTACCCCTTATAAAAAATGTAAAAATTGGTAAAAAATTAAATTTTCCCAAAAGTGATGGAGATCGTTAGTTTAGGTTGTTAGCTGTTCAAAACAGTCGTTCGCTTAGCTGTCGGCTTGATTTGACCAAATTACGACTGAAAAAGTGAAGAAAAAGTGTACTTTTTGTCTAAAATTCGAATCTTTATTTTCCACCCTAAAATATTTTTTTTTTTGCCGAAACAGAGTTAACCCGTATTAAAAATGCGGAAATAAAACACGCACGAAATGAAACAAGTACATTGTCTGGTTTAACTGAATTTAATAGTGCACAATTAGTAGTATTTAGTAGGTAGTCGCATAACCATTACATTAAAAACTTAAATTAAGCTCTTGTTGCGTGTTGGGTGTTCTGGGTAACTTTTCGAATCGCTACGATCGACAGTTTCGACTGCCTGCGGGTGTTCTCCAACTATTCGGGTCTCTCGGGGATGCGCCAAATGTGAGTTTTTTGGCTAAATAAATTACACTACAGCAGCAGCACATATAAGGCTATATATTTCCTATATACGTAGGCGTATATCATATAGTAAAAGTATCTATGTATGTGTGTATATGTATGCTTATTGTGGTTTCAGTCTTTGATTTTAAACTTAAGGGGTTAAATGTAAGCAAATTGCTGTAAAAAAAAAACAAAAAAAAAACGGTTACTTAGCCTAGGAATTGGGGATTAATCGATTCGGGAAATGGAAATGTCTTTGCCTTGGGGCCCAGCCCCAAACCCCCTTGAAAAAAAATGAAGAATTCACTTCAGGGTTTACTTTCTCCCGGCTCCTCCTTCGCATGATCCCCATCCCCGCCAGAAACTGACGCCTCCGCCTCCATGGACGCCTGCATCTCCACAAAGATATCGATGAGATTGTTGATCCCGATGAGATAGCCATCCTCGTGGTTGCCCACCTTCCAGGCGGAGTAGTGATCGATCCGCAGCTGCGGCGGCAGCTCCACCGTCTTGGCGAAGTCGATGAGCCAGATGCTGGCGTGGGTCTGGTCGTGGACGAAGAGCAGGGAGCTCCCGATGACCTCGTGGGTCTGGAAGAACTCCGAAACGGCCAGGGTGGCCCTTATGGCCCGCAAACGCTGGATGTACCGGGGCTGTTTAATAAGGAGAAAAAAAAACAGTAAAGTTCCCAGGTTAATACCATTAAAAGGCTCCTTTAGTACTCACCAGAATGTGGGGATGACCGCTGAGGAACTCGACAAAGGCCAACTTGATTTGTTCGCGCGACTTGGTCGTTTTGAAATCTTTGGAACTGGTGCCATCGCTCTTCTTGATGCCCTGAAAACGGTGATTATTTATAAATATTATATTTATTTATATTATTTATTTTATATTATTATATTTAAATTACATTAAAAAAGCATGTTCCCGTAAAATCGGTATAGCCATGTAAATTTCATGCTAGACCCATATCGTTTTTACATGAAATACTCTTTTCGACCAGATCAAATTTACCTGGACACATATCAAATTTAAATTGATCTTAAATAATGTAAAATCGAACCCACCTCGATGCGGAAACCCAGCGTGGCCGTGCTGGAGATGGTCTCCCGCCAGACCATATATCTCGGCTTGGTCACCGCCTTCGCCGCGTGCTCCTCGGCGGTGGGGGCGTGGCTATCGATCTGTATCATCTTGTCGTACATGTCCTTGCGCAACTTGGGCTTCTCCTTCGCCTTGGACAGCTCCTCCTCTAAATAGGTGCGAACACCTACCTTGCAGTCCATCACGCACGGCTGCACATAGTCACTGAGCAGATCCTGGAGCTGTAGGTAAACTAAGGAAGAAGTACCAGGATTAGGATGGGAATACAAAACAGAGAGATCCCCAATCCCCGACTCACGTTCGCCATCCTCGCTGGTCACCTGGCCCTTGTAGACGGGCACATAGGGCCGCAGGAGGTCCTGCATGAGGATCTGGAAGCACTCCTCCTCCTTGGGGCACAGCTTCTTGAGCACGGTGCCCGGCTCGGGACCCGCCTTGAAGTTGCCCTGGTGTCCGGCCAGCTGGACCCATGGATAGCGCTGCTTCTTGTACGTCTGGAAGAAGGGCGTCCACTGGACGATGTTGCGGATCTTCCGCCAGCCGGAGCTCTGCAAGAATCGGGGGAACAATTTTTAGTCAGGGAATTCTATTGGATTGATTAAAAATCTTAAATAAATAAAGGTAATACCATTCATTGTATCTCTTATTTCTGTTTATTGTAATGAAAACAGAGGAACAAATTGCTTTAGACAGCTGACAGCTGACTAAAGACCCATTTTCATGCCCTGATTTTTCAGCTGAATTGTCATCGTTTTAGTTTCAGCCACATGTAAACACACGTTTGAGTTGATCAGTTAACAAAATCACGTGGAATTAATTGTTCTTGCTTTATCCATTTTTTGTGGTAGTAAAGTTATTACAAGTTTGTTAACTAGGCGGAAAACTAAGGTTTTCAACTACCATTTTAATATGGAATAAATATAAATATAATTCAAATACTAATAATGCCATTTTAAGTATTCACTCTTTTAAGTACAGACTTTATATATTAAAAGGGCCTGCATATTTTAAAAACATCTAAATATTAGATTTCATTTTCTATGGTTCTATAACAAATATAAATTTAAAAAGATTATTAAAAATTTAAAATGCCTAAATGGAAAAATAGTTAATTCCAAAAGTAATAAATTAAATATGCAAATTTTAAAAACGATCTAAATACTAGATTTAACTTTCTATGGTTCTATAACAAACATAAAATATATAAAGATTATTAAAAATTCAATTTTTCTAAATGGAAAAATCGTTTATTCCAAACTAATAAATTAAATATGCAAATTTTATAAATTTAAATTTATAAGAAACTTGAAATATATAAAGATTATAAAAAAATAAAATTTTCTAAATAAAAAGATTTTCTAAATAAAAAAATCGTTAATTCCAAAACTAATAAATTACAAATGCAAATTTTAGAAACGATCTAAATACTAGATTTAACTTTGTATGGTTCTATAAGAAACTGAAAATATAAAAAGATTATAAAAAAATATATTTTTCTAAATAAAAAAATAGTTTATTCCAAGACTAACAAAATAAATATGCAAATTTAAAAAACGATCTAAATACTAGATTTAACTTTCTATGGTTCTATGAGAAACTTAAAATACAAAAAAATTATTAAAAATTAAATTTTTCTTAGTAAAAAGATAGTTAATTCTAAAACTAATAAATTAACTATACAGAACCCTGCTCGGAGCCTAAGACTAGGTCCCTTGATGGGATCACCCATCCTACCTTCTTGCCAGCTGTGGCCTGCGACGAGGAGCCCGATCCCGATCCCGATCCCGCCGCGGAGCCCCCCGCCGAGGTGGACACATCCGAGTCCCACTCGGAGCTGAGGTCGTCGCTGCTGGCGTAGCCGTAGTCCCGCGGCATGGGCACCTCCAGCAGCGACTTGGAGTACTGGATGTAGCCGGGGCAGAGGCTCTGGCCCAGCGGCGAATGGGATCGCCGGGGTCCCAAATGCGTGGGCGAGGGCGATGAGTCGGGCAGCGAGTGCTGCTGCGACAGCTTCCGGCTGCCCGATCCCAATCCCAATCCCAAACGCAGACCCACGAAACTGTGGGCCACATGGTCACCCGAATTGGCCGTGATGCTGATGGTGGGCATCGATAGCTTCTTCTCGGCCCGCTGACGGATTCCGTGGGCCTGGGCGAAGGCCAGGCTGCACTTGCGCGACTGCATATTATTGCCGGACAGTTTGCGGCGGAAGATCTTCTTGGAGGAGCTGGCCGTGGCCTCCGCCTCCACGGGTCTCTCCCTTTGACACTCCTCGCTGTCCGCCGATGCGGGTCGGCGTCCCGTATCGCTATCCTCGTCGGCCTCATCGCCCTTATCCTCCTCCTCGGCTTCCTCCTCCCCCTCATCATCTTCCTCCTCCTCATCGTCATCCTCGAACTTCAACTTGGATATCTCCTCGGGCGGAACGTCGGGAAAGTGGAGCAGCTTGACGGTCACCTTCTTGCCCGCCTCGTTGTAGTAGACCTCCTTGGCGCTCATCCTGTCAAAGTCCTCGTAGATCCGAACCTGCGGAGAAGGCGGCGGAGTGGGTGGCGTTACGGAGCCCTTGGGCCTGCCGTTTAGGTTTATACCAGCACTTCCGTTTCCGGTTGTCAGGGCTGGTAATCTCGTTGTACCGTTCTTTTGCTTGGGATTTGTGGGATTCGTGGTATTCGCGGGATTCTTGGGATTCTGCGGCTGTGGCTGACTTAGGGCGCACACGGACATCTTACATGGAATCTGGCCCACGGCACTCGGTTAAGTGCATCAGTGGAACTTTACTTTACAGCTCACTAGCAACTATCATAAATTCGGAGATATAGTTACAGATAGAGATACAGATAGAGATAGAGATAGAGAAGCCAAAAGTCGGAGAGTTGGAGAGCCTGTCGCTGCATTTTGATTTCTGCGCATTTGCGAACCCGTTCTCGCCTAAAAACCGCCTCGTCTCCCTCTAACTATCCCCCTCCCTTTCCAACTGACAGCCCAAGCGATCGAAACGAGCTTTTGGGTCTTTAAATACCCTTTGATTATATTATAAGGTTTTTGTGGTCCTTGAAACATATAATATACAATTAAAGAATGTATGATATAGATCTTAAAAAAAGTCTATATCGAGTCACGTTTAGAAGTTACTCCAAAGATGCAAATATATAAATCAAACTTTTTTCTAAAATTTATATAAAATTTGTTATTAATCTTAAAAATATATAAAAAATTTAAGAGATCATTTCAAGCTGCTTATGATAGTTATGAAAAGAATTTCCAAGCAGAAGCATCTTTTTGTGGCGTTTATAATCTGAACTTTTCCAAGTAGGTTGCCTGCAGAGGTTCAATCCCTTTCGTTTTAAGGGTATTATCGCTTCGTTGCAGCTGGGTCTTTGACTTTTGACTGCTTTCGGCTGCCGTTGCTGCTGTAATGCGCACACATCAATCAAAATTGATTAAATTTGAGACATACACAAGTATATGCCATGTAACACAGTCCGCAAAAAGCAAAGACAGACGATACTAAGTAGGCATTGTCGGAGCGTGTTGGCATCTTGGCAGCTCCATCTGCGGCATCCGAAAAGCTAGAAGCTGGTGGCCAGCAACCAGCAACCAGCAACTAGCAACACCAACTAGCAACACCAGCAACTAGCAACCAGCAACCGCAAGTGAAACCGCCCAGAGTCGGGCAAGGCAATCCAATCCAATCCGAAACCCAAATCGAACAGCACATTATGATAATAATGGAAATGCCAGCGACGCGGCTATCCAGTTACGCCAGTGCACAGCAGCAACAATACCGAATATACATATGTATGTACAACTTGTATATATATCTCCCGCCATATATACGAACTGAAATTTCTTTATAACATTTGACGTCATTTGCAAATGTTGACGCCGTCGCCGCGAGGCGATAACGAAGCAACAACAACGGCAACAGCAACGTCAGCTAAGAGCAACAGCAACACGAGCAACACGAGCAACACGAGCAACACGAGCAACATCGAGAGCAGCAACAACCTTGTGGAGAACTTTGGTACTCCCATATCAACAATAGATCTTAGCCGCATTACGAACTACTTAGCGATCGCCTTCTATATATTATATATATATTTGGCTTATCTAATTCCGATTCGAGTCAGGGGTTGGCATTGCAAGGGCCCGAGTACTAAGTGCATGTAAGTGGGACAAGGGTTTCGACTTTATCAGCTCTTCCAGAACATTCAGTGTTTTGATAGACTTAATAGAAAGCCAAGTTTGGGTCTTACTGTCTTAATTAATGATAATTATCCCAGTTTAGGATTATGAAACAAAAACAAGAACTATTTTATGAACTTGAGTGCTCAGTTAATATATTTCAAGGGTTATAGTACTTAAGTTACTGAGGGCTCCAAGTGTTTGAGTACCTAGATCTTCTAGTTAAGAGCTCTACTTGGTGATGTTAGACTAAATACTTGGCGGATCCAAGTCCAAGTAATGTCGAATAACTTAGAAGGTATTTATCCTATAACGATAAAACTATTTAATCTTTATTTACTTTTATTTCTGCTTTTCTTTACTTGTTTTTTTTTTTATTAATAGCTCTTCCATAAATTACGTATGTGTGATATTTCATTATTTAATGCTACTTTCTGCTTGTGTAAATAACTGGCTATTTATAAAGAATGAACTGATCTACAACTCGGTGAGCTATTAAAGATTTAAAAAGATTCCAATCCTATCTTTTTATATCTTTTATTTTCTAGCTGGGCTTGGCTTTAGATTGCGATCCATCCTTAAATACAAATTCGCTCGTTATCTAAGGGAAACAATTGTACAATCTTCGATGCCGTCAACACCAGCGAATGCAAAAAAACAAAAAAAAAAGATAACGACTCGATATATCGTATCGCGCCATGTACTGTGCATACATATATGTGGAGACATTAGATCGTGTGTTTGGGCTGGGGCGTAGTGTCTGTGTAATCGCCACCCCCTCGAAGGCCCCACTTTCCCCCCTTGAATTAACAGCACCACCCACTCTCAAAAATGGACACTACGCGCTTAATGCGCGCCATTCACATTCCCGTTCGCATAACAATTTCTCTCAGTATTTCTTCACTTTTTTTTCATTTCATTTTCTAACTACCAAAAGCTTAAAATTAATAAAGTAAAAAATTTGTTGTCAACCTCCCGCTCCGCTCTTTATCACCTCCTCGCTCTTTCCCTTTCTCTGAGTGTGAGTCTCTGTTTCTCTTCTTCTATTTGGGCACTGGAAAATGTTTGGATAGCTTTTCAAAACGATACCAAAAAATGGTTTTCAATTCGGAATCAGTTTTATAGTTTTTATGCAATATATTTATTTTATATTTATTTATTTTTAGAACTAGCATCAAAAATAGAGCTCCTCCCTTATCAGTCAAGAAAAAAATATCATTAATGTCCCTAGCATTAAGATTAAGAATTGGGATTGAGAAGAATAAATCATTCGTATTTAATAATAGTATTTTTTAAATATTTCGATATTCCCAAGAAATAAAATATTTTGGAAATACATTATAAGAACCAAACCTGCACTACAAAGTGAATACATTAATTTCGGTAATTGGCTATGCCCAATAAAATATAATGTGTTTTGTAGGATCGATTAAATTCTATTTTGTAGAATTATTATGGATCTCCTAATGGCAACCCTCTTTTTTTTGCAGTGTTCCATTGACGCACAGAATGGATTTTGGCTTTGGGATTCGCTTTTGGATTCGGATACGGTTTCGGTTTTGGTTTTGGGCCTCGAGATGTGAGTGGGGCTGTGAATGTGGGTGGTTGGGCGGATGTTATTGAAACGATCAAGCACCAATTAAGGCGGTGGGGTGGTGGAGTGGGAGGGGTGATTTAGTTCCATTTTCGGCTACTTAATGAGCCTCAATTGCCGAATTCGCTGCTCGTACGCAAATGAACACGATTTCCGAAGGTGCTGCTCTGCTGTTGCTCCTCAATTATATAATTCACATTAAATTTTTTGTGTTTAGGGGGTGGGGTGTGGGGGTGTGGGGTGTTGAATGGGTGGGTGTTGCTCTTAAATTGCGTAGCATTCAATTTTCGACGGGGTGTTTTTTGGGGGGCAGGGGAGGGGCGTTCTCATTGACGTCGTCGTTTATATAGTGTGTAAATGTTTACATAAACCTGAATACTCGGATTTTCGGTGCAAAAGTCAGTTCGCTATTTCAGTCATCTAGTATAAGAGTTCTGTCTACGGTCTCCCGTCTTCCCTCTCTCTCTCTCCGACTCTCGCCGTCTCTCTCTCTCGCTTTTTCGGCGCGTGCTTCAATTAACACACTTTACAATGACAGCAGCAACACGAAACATCAGCAACTTCGACAGCAGCAACACATTGCAGATTCCCCAACTTGCCACTTGATTCTTCTTCAATTCGAATTGTTTAATTAACTTAAAAAAAAAAGCACGTTAAAAAAAGACCACACACAGGCACAAGTCATTGATTTTGATTAAAAATTAATGTGCTAGAAAGTGTTTTATTTAGTTTAGTTGCGTGTTTACAATATGAAATGTTTTCTTTATATTTTTTTATTTTTTATACATCTATTTTTTTTAAGTTTGTATATTTTATTCTTTTTTTTAGATCTATATTGCTGTTTTTAAATGGAGTGCAATTTTTATAGCTTTTTTTTTATTAGATCTGTAATATTTTTTATAAATATTAAAAATATACGGAATCGTAGAAAAACAAACACGCAATATAGCAGTTAGCATTCAATTTAGAATGATTATATTTTCTATATTATATTAAGATTATATGGCAAAATAATTTTCATCAGGATTTACATTAGTTTATAAGCCCATTTCCTTCGGGGTTTTGTGTTTCAAAAATAGAATTTAAGAAACACATACACTCTTCAGCAATTAACTGTTAATTAAGAATGGAATGGAATTTTTTCAGCTTTCTTCCTGTGGCTTTTTGTTGAATTGAAAATGAAAATACATAATACGAACACACCACACGCAACCAATCAAAATGAATTTATTTAAAAAAAAACAAAAACCAAATCAAAAAATTATAATATTTTTGGAATACAGCTCTGGTTAATAATATTGCTTCTGGGCTGTGTTGCTTTTGCTGTTGCCTTTGCTGTTTATTATTAATTATTTTTTTTTTGTTTTTTGTATTATTTTTGTTTTTTCGGTGGGCCGTTTGACGCGGTCTCTGGCATTGGCTTGGCACACAGAGAGGGGCGCTCAGAGCCGCGGTGAAAACACAAACATATTGGGTAGATATACATATAGAGGCGGTGCGGCGAGAGATATGTGGAAGCACACGCGGAAAGTCGGCGATACGATGCGATACGATACGATACGATACGATGCGGGTACGGGTAGGTTTACGGGCAATAGCACTACCAATAGCAATAACAATAACAATAGCAATAAGAATGACAAAAACCCAGAGACGAGACCCCGAGCCAGCCGCACGCGATCGCAGCAAAAGCTCAACTGGTCGACTCTGCTCTAAAAAAACGGAACCCAAACGAGCCAAGCCGAACCAAACTCGCTGAGAGCTCCGCCGGCGATGAGCAGCAGCAGCAGCAACAGCAACAGCAGCAACAGCAACACGGGAGCAACACGGCAGCAGCAGCAACATCAGCTTTCTGTTTCGGGAGTCCTACCAAATAAATCCAATCGAAATTCAATCCAATCGCAAGTACGAGAGCTCAGACTGATAAGGCAGAGTAAGAGAATTTGGGGGTGGTACACTTGGAGAAAAAAAGAATTCCACCTCAGAAAAGAAAACCAATATCAAATATTTCAAGTGTAAATTAATATTCTTTACGATAAATACAGATGGATTTAAAAACGTAAGAGGTTACGTTTAAGTTAACCACCTTTATTTTTTGTCTTTTTTATTTACACCTTCAATATTTATTAGATAAGATTGAATATACATACATATTTCTGTAATTCAATATATATTTATTTTGATTTTATTATATTTGATTATTATTATATGCTCCCAAAATGTTGCACTTTTTTTCATATATCCCACAGAAATGATTAATTTTACAAAATATTAAGTATGTGGTTTTTTTTACGGGTGTAACCGGGCCCAGAATTATCACCTGGATGAGAGAGGGGTCCCAACCCGGGGAACAAAGCTCATTAGTTGGCCTAGACTCACCCGCGATGACGTAGTTTAATGATCAAGGCCACCGGGCCGTGACGTCAATGATAACAAGATCCTACATCAGTGGAAAATGCCGTTACGATATGGTCAGAGCTCCTTGATATTTAAAATAAAAAGCTAAAGACTTAATAATAATGCATTGCCTGAGAATTTTATAAAGTTTGTGAAAATAATTTTAGTTTTTTTTTCTACGAAGCCCTATAAATACAGCCTAATATTTTTGGTTTCCCCATAATGCCTGGTCATTGTTATATTCGAATAATTGCACATCATTGTTTATTCGTGGGAACATGGGAAGCTGGCTTTGTAAATCAGCAAACATGAGCTTCAATGTAAATAAACAAAATTGGGCAGAGATACAGAGAAAAGAGATACCGCAAAAAGTTGAGATTCATTAAGAAAAGTCCACAGCAAAGCAATAAAAGAGAAGATACTTTCTGAAGATCGCCAACAAGATCCTTATTAAATATGAGTCACAAATCACTTTCTCCAGGAGAAAGTTTAGGGCCATTGAATATGTATTCAAAAAATATTTATAAATTGCATAAGCAATAGGGACCTTCGCTTGGAGTTATCTTTTTGTGCTAAGAAGAGTCTGCTAAGATGGCTCTCTTCCGAATCTTCTGAAATCTCCCACCTCCGCCCACCACTCCGCCTTCCCTCTCCTCTCCACTCTCCACTCCAATTTCGCTTATCAGTTGAACGATCTCATTTTCACACGATCCACGCTTTACGCATGAGCGGCTTCTCTTTGTCTCGCTCTCTCTCTCTCTCTGTTCCATTCGCTATCTTTATCTCTATGTCAGATGCTAGTGACGTCAATGGGATGGAAGCGAAGCTTTCCGGCTGGACCGGTCCAACAGTCCAAGCTAGCGATGTGCTTCTAGCCATTTAATAGCTGAAAACAGCCAGCATTTTTCAAGTCCTAATATAAAAATATAAGCTATTTCGGACTTAATAGTAGATAATTATTTTCTGGTCCGTATTTTAATCCTTAAATTGTAGCATTTCCAATAGATACAGATTGCTGGCTTACTTTTAAAAGAAATTTCACATAGTCAAGGGAGTCACAAGGGAGTCAAGTTCCAACCGAAAACGGTGGGTTTTGTTACGGATTTCGGTTGGATAAGATTGTTAGCTTTTTTTCCTTAATTATATGATTTGAGAATTTTTAACCAGTAAATTCTGGCACCTCTGATCGAAAGCCTATACGAGGTAAGTAGCTTCTTTATAGCAAAGACAACCTCCCCAGGTAAAGCTTTTCATGGAGACAACTAAAAAGCTTAAAAAAGTGGGGATCGTGGGGATCACAAAGTTAGGGTTTATACAGATGGGTCAGAATTGGTCAGAATACCTTTTATTTTTATTATTTTATTCAAATATTTATTTAAAAAAATTAATAAATCTAATAGAAATGGCTATAATTATTTACTATAATTGTTTTTTAAATAATATAATTATCCCAAAAATAATAGCTTATACTTTATAGTTTTAGTTTCTATAAAGTACTGAAAAGTATCCCTTAGCTCGTAGTAAAACCCCATATGACTCACCTTCTTCTTGGCCGCCTCGGCGGCACTGATCACGTAGAGATCGACGATGCCCAGCAGGCAGTCGTCGCAGCGGCAGACGTCCTCGCCGAAGGCCAGCGAGCCCAGGCTGCTGGTGGAGTCCAAGGAGTCGGTGCGTCGCAGGCGGCTGACCACGCCCATGCCCAGGCCCAGGCCCAATCCCAGGGTCAGGGGGAGGGGCAGGGGCAGGGGCAGGGGATTGGGGGATGTGGGTGAGGGCGTGGCCGAGCCGGAAGCGGAAGGAGTTGCGGAGACGGTCGAGGGAGCTGCGCCCGCGGCGGCGGCCGCCTCAATCTTGCGGGCCAGCAGCTGCTCCATGAGCGTCCGCGGCCGCGAAGAGGAGGGGAACAGGGCCATTTCGGCCAGGCGATTGCCACTGCCACCCACTGCCTCCGCCTCCGCTCCTCCCCCCGCTCCCCCAGCCGCTCCTCCTCCTGGTCCTCCGCCGTCCACCTCCGTTGGCGAAGAGTTCTTTGCCTAAGTCTTTTGTTTTCGCCCTTTCGCGTCGCGTTATTTAATGGATACTTCCTATTTCGATCGAGAATCCGGCAAACTCTTTTAGCTAAGCGAGAGTTGAGACAACATACCTGCAAAGGAGAGAAGGGAAGATAAATTAGATTGGATTGAAAAATAAAAGAAAATAAAATAATATTAAAACATTTAATTATTAGCTAAATATTTAAAAAATTATTTCTACAGATTTGTTTCTCTTCCCCTAAAAAGGAAATATTTCAATAAATCACCCTAATCTGTTGTGTTTGACATTTTAAATTTCATTATTGAACTCCGCCACCCAGAGAACTCGAAGCACACTTATCACTTCGTGACTTTTTTGGACATACTCTATGATTTATGGACCACCGGAGATTACTTTAATTGATCAGCCATTAAAAATAATCCACAGACGCCCATACATTCGTTTTTACGACCCACTATAGGTTAAACAATTTTAAATTAATGACTACCATCTATTTTAGCTGACAAGCCCTGTGTAAATATTGTAGCCTTAAATTAATCACTTGAAATCCCCTCTAAAACTATTTCGTATTAACTTTAACTTCCGCAGAAATCAAGTTGATTGCTTGGCCATTTCCCAATCTAAATGAATCACCTTAATCTACTTCAACCGACATGCGACAGTATCAATATTGCAAATTAGATTAATCAACGCAATCTCCCTCGACTGACATGACCAGTATCAATATGGAATATTGAATTCCGTCACACGATCTCCGATCTCCAAACTCCGATCTCCGCACCCAAGGCAATCTTATCTCTTCTACCTCGTGGCTTCTTTGGCCATTCGAAATTCAATAATTTATGGACCACAATTTGTTGTCTGTCTGGGCTTATCTGAATGGATCAATGGATGGTTGGTATGGGGCTTGGGCTGGGACCTGGGCCATATGATATAGGATCTGGGGTTGGGGCGTTAGAAGTGGCATTCGCTTAATCGCAGAGCTGATAAAAGTTTCTTGTTAATTAACATGAAAGTGCAGCAGACACGGTCGAGATTTTTTTCTTGCTCCTTTGAAAACGGAAAATTGAAACCCGTCGGTTTAGCAAAAAAAATAGGGGGAGGGGTAGGTGGTGATTTAAACTGGCTCGGGCTCCTTAGCCAGTTTTCAAGTCGTCATCGGCATCATATCGCCGCATTTATGCGCACATAAAAGTTAAATAATAGATCCAAAAGATACTTTTGCAGAGCTCGGAGCAACTTGGACTCCGACTTCGACTCCGAGTGCAACTCCAATTGCAGCCCCG